TTTTTTTTTTTTTTTTTTTTTTTTTTTTTTTTGTCAAGAATATGTGGTAAAAAAGAAGAAAAAGTTTTGAAATTACATGTAACATTATTTTATTCGAGAATGTGTGATTGATAAGCAAAGAGAAAAATTAGTTATAATTCTAATGAGGGTCAAACTAAGGCTTAATGTCATTCAATTGCCACCTAAACTTATGTTTGACACTTGAAGTGCTGAATAGCATTACTCTATTAATTATGTCATGCAAAAGATTCATGGCCGGATTTAATCATAAAATTCGACAATGAAAGTTCATACCCTTAATGCATTTTGGATAATTTGTACACCAATCTTCTGGTCAAAGTTGGCTGTTGGCAATTTATCGAGTTCTTTCGATGCATACAAAAGAGCAACACCACCACCTGCATTGTTATGATTGTTTAGCATATACCGTTGCTGATATTAGTAGAGCCCAACTGCACAAGATCAGACATGAATGTATGAATTTACCAGGTACAATTCCTTCTTCAACAGCTGCCTTTGTGGCATTTAGAGCATCTGTAACTCTGTCTTTCTTCTCACTAACTTCTGCTTCACTAGCTCCTCCAATCTGCAAGGGAAAATTGGTAAGTTTACTTAAGACACTAAAGCGCATATCATAAAAGGCAGAAAGATTGTATAAAACATAACTGCAGTCAAGTACTAAACTCGTAATGCTTGTATGAACTGCTATAGGAAATTATACCTTTAATACAGCTACACCACCAGATAGCTTAGCAAGTCTTTCTTGCAACTTCTCCTTGTCATAATCAGAAGTGCTCAATTCAATTGCTGACCTTATCTGCAAGTATAGATGGCAGTCCGTAAAAATAGTGATATATGGCTGAATTCTATATTTTTGTTCAAAAACATCTTCATAACTAGCCAACCACTAGTTGGGAGATCAGTCCTAAAATGCTAAAATTAGGTCTGTGAATGAAGCAACACAAACCTGTTCACATCTTTCCTCTATGGCTTTCTTCTCACCAGCGCCATCAAGAATAACAGTGTCATCCTTAGATATTGTGACCTAGAACATGAACAGCAGAAAAGAAACATCAATCACATAAAAGAAAAACCTTTTATGAATATCCGAAAGCACAAAAGCAGATCCATAGCAAGAGAAGGAAATGAGTTACTTTCCAGGTTCATCAAATGACAATACAGTTTACCTTTTTACATGAGCCGAGCATATCCAACTCCACATTTTCCAGATTCAATCCAAGTTCTTCTGTTATGACCTTAAAATGCAAAATAACCTATTAACAAGGCCCTGTTGGGAAAAAAAATAGTGTAAAAGCACTCAATAGAATACTCCACTCACCTGGCCTCCTGTTAAAGCAGCAAGATCCTGCAAACTAGCCTTCCTATTTTCACCAAATCCAGGTGCTTTTATAGCACAAACCTGCACACGTTTTAGATATACTGAAATTAAGCTAAAATCAACATAACTGTATGGAAAGCTAATTTTCTGTGATAAAAGCAGTGGAGGTACCTTAATCCCAGCACGAAGCTTGTTGAGGATAAGAGTTGCAAGTGCATCGCTTTCCACATCTTCGGCAACTATTACTAGAGGTCTTTTCCTCTGGACATATGGCAAAATAAAATCAATCATGCTACCGCTACATAATCTTGATTTTGAATATCAGTAGCTCAGATAAGATGACCTTGACAGAGTTACCTTCAAAGCCAACTCTAATACTTTGACAATAGCATTTAAGTTTGAAATTTTCTTCTCGTGTATAAGAATGAGAGGGTCATCCAACTCCTGCAGTTGTTAGATAGCTTGTTAATAGACCTCCATCCAGCCAATTTTCTCAGTAATAAAGATTTCTCAGTACGTAGAGAGACTTACACATTTCTGGTTCTTCTGATTTGTGATGAAGTACGGGGAAATATAGCCTCTGTCCAACTTCATTCCCTCAACTACTTCCAATTCATTGAACAGAGTCTTTCCATCCTACAACAGCATATGAACACTTTAATTTACACCTTGTACATAACTTTTAAGATACAGATTGAGTGTTTGTTTGGTACTTATAAGCTGTGTGGATCACACGGAATGCATGGATAATAAGTTGGTGGTAAGTAGAATAAAAAGTATGTTTCGTCAGCATAAATTAAAATTTAAGCTTCATGTAATTTAAGCTTCCAAACATGATCTGAATAGCCGATACCAAAAAACAAGTACAAAGGCCGGAGAAAAAAAGGTTTTCTTTGCTTTCTACAAGCAATGTCAAGGGAACCAGAATATGTGGAGCATTGAATTTAACGGCAAATGTTAACTTATAAGACCAGCAACATAGTCAATTAGACAGTAGTAAATTTCAGCATTTACGTCTTTGTATGGCCAAGAAACGAACTATGAAAATCTACCATATAAAATGACATAGTAAGAATTGTCACAGCAACAAATAGTATTTAAATCTGATCACTTCAAATCTGGGAAAAAAAATCTGCTTACTTCCGTATTCTTATGGTGCATATTATTGTGCCCGTAAAACAAATTTCATTTTACAGATAACAGCCGAAGACAGATAGATTTAAATATAGATCAGTGCAGCCATGGAATTCAGCAATCTATAGCATTTTGGTTGAGAATTTGATGAGGAAACATTTTGTCCCTATTATAGAACTTGCCTACATGATAAACACAAATATTTAAAGATGGCATCTCCTTCTTTGAGCCATTGAATATATTTTTTAGTGAGAAATCCACGCCTAAGCATTGAAACATATATGATGAATCCTTACTTGAATGGTGATGACACCCTCTTTGCCAACCCTTTCCATAGCCTTTGCAATCAGCTCTCCAATTTCTCTTTCTCCATTTGCAGAGATTGTCCCAACCTACAAGTGCATAATTAGATGAATAGCCAGTACCAAGAGCAACTTACCATTATTTCTTATAAAAAAGTAAATCGCTTTAATATAAAGACAATATTTCATTCATTTACCCTTTTTCATCGTTTGCAGCCCACAGGACTGATTTAATTTGAACTGTGGTCTCTAAATTTTCAATAAATTTCATCTAATTAACACTAAATGATACTATCCTCAAAAGACCATTTTGCAAATCATTAACACTAATTAAGCAAGTAGGAAACATATAAGCATAGACAAACCTGAGCAATTTCTTCCGATGTACTTATCATTCGTGCTCTGCTCTTTAAGTTTGTAACCACAGAATCAACAGCCATGGAAATACCTCGTCTAAGATCCATTGAGTTCATGCCAGCTGCAACTGACTTGCAGCCCTCAGCAAATATTGCACGGGTTAGGACAGTAGCACATGTAGTACCTGCATGTTTTGGACAGAGCATGTTCAACTGGATCCATAAACTTCATCATCGAGGTCTCATATATATTTACAGTGATAAATCAGTAGATTACAACCAAACTAAGTTGAAAACTCACCGTCACCAGCAACATCATTGGTGGCATTTGCAACCTGCTTTACAAGGCTCGCACCAATGTTTTTGACTTTGTCCTTGAACTCAATGCTCTTTGCCACAGTGACACCATCCTTTGTCACTTTGGGGGCACCCCAACTTTGCTCAATCACTACATTACGCCCCTTCACCGATTGAAACAATCAAAACTTTAGTCAGCTACAACATTGATAAACAAGAGCATGCGGACTAAAAGTAGAAATAAATAGCAAAAAAAATTGACAAAAAAGGTAGAAATAACAACTTTAACTTTTTCACAATGTTGTCACAAAAATATCATGAATATATCTATCAAAATTATAAACAAGTGTCCCTATATATTCTTCAAACATCAGTACGAGATTATAGAAGTTCACTAAAAGGCAAATTGGAAACATGTAAAAGTAGACACCACTTGACAAAAAATAAAAGAAATTTATCACTGGTGCAATGAGCAGCAGGATCATTGAAGTACCTTCGGGCCCATGGTGACTTTAACTGCCTCAGAGAGCTCCTCAACACCCTTAAGCATCAGAGCCCTGGCCTCCACTCCAAATCTAATATCTTTCGCAGCATAGTTTCTGCTCCAACCCAATCTACTACCAATCTGCATCAAACCCACCAAAGCACAATATTTGCACTCATCAAAACACGGATTTATTCAGTTCAAAAATAAATAACATAACGAAACTACTTGGAAGTGAAATTACCTGTTGGCTGCTGTTTCTTGCAACCCTGTTCAGATAAGGAGAAAACGGGATTTTCATTAAATCGAAATAGAACAATTACAATATCCAAAACCTGTTATAAAGACTGTAATGATGGATTTTGTAGAGTACCTGGCTTTGGAAGCAAGATTTGCAGCAAAACGATACATGTTTCAATAAAAAGAAGAATTTGGAAACAGAAAAAAAATGAAGAAAGATAATGAGACTCAAGAATTACGAGTATCGAGAAATCGGAATGTAGAACTGGATGCT